GTGTGTGTGTGTGTGTGTGTGTGTGTGTGTGTGTGTGTGTGTGTGTGTGTGTGCGAGTGTTGTATTTCTATATGCTACCTTATGGTGCAGCAACTGCTTCAGGTCTCCCTGCAATCGGTTCACTAAACTTTCTGCTTCATTCAGCTTTATCTTCACAGCATCCAAGTCCTCCTCCAGACGGAGGTTCTCCTAAGAAATACATCACACCATCAAACATCCTGATGAACTCAGCAGAACATCAAAAATACTGAGGAACAAAGCAGAAGGTAATGAGTGCGGAAAATCATATTCAACACCAATACTAGAAGCAGGTACCATCAGTCAGACTATTTCAGGTTGATAAAAGACAATCAGGACTGACCTGTGAGGCACTGCTCAGCTGCCTGTGTAGCTCCGCCTCCTGCTCTCTGACCAGCTGCAGCTCCTCCTGTAGCGAGATGCGTTCTTGGTCCACCTGCTGCAGCAGCACCTCATTCTCCTGCACCGACTGACAGCGCAGTGATGTCAGTCTCCCATGGAAGTCCTGCTCCAGGTCCCTGACAAGTAGAACCATCAAACATACTGATCACATGACCTGTTCTGTAGGGCTTTGGGAGCTCTCATATACCAGAATCCTTTGCAAACAGATATTTAAACTAAGACATTGTCCAAATTCAGGGGCTGGGTCCTTCGAAGGACCTGGCCTACTCGGTCTAGGTGGGCCAGTTTCCTTGGTCAACCACGAAGGGCAGGCAAGTCAATGAGCTGCAGGAGGCTGGGAATAACGTAACAAAGACTACCATCAGTAACACACTACACCACCTGGAGGCTGGGACTAATGTAACAAAGACTACCATCAGTAACACACTACACCACCAGGAGGATGGGACTAACGTAACAAAGACTACCATCAGTAACACACTACACCACCAGGAGGATGGGACTAACGTAACAAAGACTACCATCAGTAACACACTACACCACTACGAGGCTGGGACTAATGTAACAAAGACTACCATCAGTAGCACACTACACCACTACGAGGCTGGGACTAATGTAACAAAGACTACCATCAGTAACACACTTCACCACCAGGAGGCTGGGACTAACGTAACAAAGACTACCATCAGTAACACACTACACCACTAGGAGGCTGGGACTAATGGAACAAAGACTACCATCAGTAACACACTACACCACCAGGAGGCTGGGACTAATGGAACAAAGACTACAATCAGTAACACACTACACCACCAGGGACTCAGATCCTGCAGGGCCAGACGTGTCCCTCTGATTAAGCCAGTCCATATCCAGGCCCGTCTGAAGTTTGCTAGAGAGTAGTTGGATGTTCCAGAAGAGTATTGGGAGAATGTCATATGGTCAGATGAAACCAAAGTAGAACTATTTGGTAAAAACAACTCATCGTGTTTCGAGGAGAGTGAATGCTGAGTTGCATCAAAAGAACACCATACCAACTGTGAAGCATGGGGGTGGCAYCATCATGRTTTAGGGCTGTTTCTCTGCAAAGGGACCAGGATGACTGATCCGTGTACACGGAAGAATGAATGGAGCCAGGCATGGTGAGATTCTGATTGCAAACCTCCTTCCATTTCAACAATCATTGAAGATGAAACATGGCTGGGTCTTTCAGCATGACAGTGATCCTCCAAGAACACCACCAGGGCAACGAAGGAGTGGCTTCATAAACATTTCAAGGTCCTGGAGTGGCCTAGCCAGTTTCCAGATCTCAACACACAGAAAACCTTTGGAGGGAGTTGAAAGTCCGTGTTGCCCGCCGACAGCCCCAAAACATCACTGCTCTAGAGGAGATCTGCATGGAGGAATGGGSCAACATACCAGCAACAGTGTGTGCCAACCTTGTGAAGACGATAAGGTTTGACTTCTGTCATTGACAACAAAGGACAGGGTTCCCACACGTTGGTCAACATCAAATTCAAGGACCTTTCAAGGACTTTCCAGTGCCAATTTCCTCAAATTCAAAAACCATGTGTGATGGCTACCTATGAATGTTACCAATAAGCTGGTTTAATATGTAAAGTCAATGTAAAACTGAACAACACAGAAGTTGTTGAGTTAGAATCAATGAAAGAAAGTGGATTAAATGTTTACCCTACATTCATATCTACAGTACATGGACATGTAATTATGTTTTGTTAAGTATTGAGATTAACTTTTGTTATTGACCAAATTCAACCTGGAAAGACTCACTCGAACAAAGACTGAAATTAGGTTTATTGATGTGGCTGAATTAGCAGGATTATCTACATGAATGACATTAGTTTGGCGCTTGGACCCCGGCAGAGGATGTGAGCGCTGAGAGGTGCTTTAAGCTCGGATGAGCTATTTAATATGAGGGGTAGGAGTTTTTGTTCCCCGACACTGGTGGTGGAGCTCAAAGGAGAGGGAAGCCCTTGGAAGATGAAGGGTGGAGGTGGTAGGCTGACGTTCAGCTGGCCAGCACATGGAGCGATTGGAGAAGACGCATTTATCCACTGACTGTCAGATGCTGATTGGATGTGGCTGGGCTCGTGACACAGCAGCTGGATTGAGCAGGTGAGGTAGATTAGTCTTCCAGAGTTGAACCTTCATCTAAACTTCATTACTTATTTTCCACAATAATTTGCAAATAAATGCTTTAAAAAAAACCAGACAATGTGATTTTCTGGAAATGTTTTCTCATTTTGTCTCTCATAGATGAGCTCTAACTATGATTTCAGTTATAGACCTCTCATCATTTTAAGTGGGAGAACTTGAACAATTGGTGGCTGACTAAATACTTCTTTCCCCCACCAGAAACTTGTTCTTCTATAAGTTCTTCTTCTGTGGTTTTATTGGCAGTTGGCAGACTAGTTTAAGTGTATTACTACTTATTTTTCTTTTTGATTCTTCTACCTGGGTTACTGAGATGCATCAGGACACTTCAATAGAAACTTAGGATATATAATAAAATGAAAAATGTTTTTTTAACTGTTACAGAGAATTTATCCCACTAATCAGTACATGAATTATATTAAAACAATAAACTGTAAGTTTAGCAAAGAGCATCCAGAAACAATCAGTCATTTATTCTGGATTTGTCGTATCGCAAAGACATTTTAGAATGAATGTAATCATTTTATCACTTGTAATATTGATACTAAATTTTCATTAAGGTATGAACATAATATTTTTGGTTTTCATGAAAAGAATACTATTATAAACAGAAGACTAGCAATTCATCTAATTCCAATTTTTGGCAAATTTCATTTTCATAAATGTAAATTTTCATCGTCTTCACCTTTTTTGATTAAAGAAACTGAATTATATTTATCAACTATATCTAAAAGCACAAACAAGCTTTAAACATACAAATGTAGCTCACTGAATATATTTAATTTATGACTGAATAAATACTAAATGTATTTAATGTAGAAACAGTGGCATATACTTTAATTATTTGGTTTTGTTCCTTGTTCTTTGTTCTCCCGCGCTTTCTTTGTATTTGTTCTTAAACTTATATTATTATATTTGTAAAGATTTTTTCAATTAAAAAAAACTTAATAAAATAAATTTAAATGTCACATACATGAATTGTGGGTAATATACTTCACTGAATTCTGCTTCGATGCAGACTTCAGTGAAGTGTGGATGAAGGGCACAAAGGGGGCGGGGCCAAAGACCACTTCAGACATCTAGGACTAACCGGGACACACTAAGCACTCAAACCCTTCAGCAAGAATGCACATTTGAAGTAGACAAGGATGGGGGTGTGAGTATTGGGACTGGGCCAATGATTCAGGCTGACCTGATCCTGCTCTCATTGAGCATCTCCATGTTGGCGTGGTGATCTTCCACCTCTCTGACGAGCTCCAGGTTCCTCTGATTGGCCAAGTCCAGGTCCATCCTCAGTTTGTCCCGCTCCCTGCAGGCCTGCTCTGACACCCACCTGAGAGGCAACACAAATCACAGGTGACATGACCTCGCTCTTTTTTCCGTCATGCATCAGTTGATGGAAAACCTACTGCAGATGCTGGATTTCATTCTTGTAGGAAACGAGGGCTGCCTGGTAGATCCCGTTCCCACTGAGCAGCAGCTCATTGTCCAGAGCCAGGGTCAGATCCACTAAACTGAGACGCTCCTCCAGGGGGAAGTCCAGGGTCTGCAGGGCACAAACAAACACAATCATTGAATTATAAATAAAATTTATAAATGTGTAAAGATGTGATGGTGTAAGTTATTTTCTTTATTTTGATAAAACTACTAAAATATTTTCCTAAAACATGTCTTTTCCTGACTTTCTCTTCTGTTTAACAGATTCATGTTACAATTTCAAAGATTTTTTTTCCCATGATGCCTTGAGCCAACAAAAAAAATAGTGAGACCACTAAATAATATTTCATTTATAAACTATGACTTACTGAACATTTCTGCAGATGACCAATAATCTTGTGATGTTTAACCCTCCTGCCAGCAGAGGGAGCTGCTGCACATCAAGTTTAAACGGTTCCAGAGCTTTGTTTGGAGACTTGTGCTGCAGAGATGAATTCCCTGACAGTAATTAGCATTATTGTTTTGGAATGATTAAATTAGGAGCCTTTATTTGTAATTATGGTGTTTAAAAATCTGATTCTGGTTGTAGATCAGACTGAACTGGACTGTAGAGAAATGGCCTGGTTCTCTAACAGGAATGTGACCGAGCTGATATGTGAGGTTCTGATGGGTCTCTGTGGTTTGGAACCAGTTTGGACCCCACAAATGAAACCCTCAGACCTGATGAGGTGGTTTGGGCTGAAAACTCAATTATATACAAACAGTTTGTTCTTAAAAACCTAATCAGGACATTGTGTTGAAGCTGAGGATACAACCCCTACAGGACAGGTAAAAACACCTTTAAAGAGGACCTCTTATGGAGGCCCTTGAACAAGTTAGGACACATCTGTGAGCTATATAAAACATGTTCATTTGATTTTAATCACAAAATGAACAGGTGAAGTTGCTCGCCTCCTGTCTTTGATCCCAGCAGCGCGTTCAAAAATAATTTATGCTAAATGACAAATCAAATTCATTGGATTAGATTATACTTACGACAGGAGACAGCAGGTTGGCGATTGTGTCATTTTGGACATCTTTTTCCTGTATAAACGGGCTGAAGACGCCATGGGGCCATAAACTATAGATCCTCCCTCTGCCCTCCCACAGCTCATATACTTAATCTGTCCTTGTCATGCAGATAATGCTGACATGACAGTCTGTTTTAATCTTTTGTGATTCTTACAAAAAGAAAATAATCAATAACTTGATTTTCCTTTTTAAAGATATTTTTTATTTCAAGTGTGTGTCATACTGTGATCTGAAGATGATTTCTGAACTGTCATTAATTTTTACACTTGTGTCAATTTAGCTGACTGTTCTCTTTTCCTTCTTTCCTGAGCAGGAGAAAACAACACCTGTGTGTCTGTGTGACCACGACTCTGTCTAAGTCAACATAATATTCTCCCCAAAAGAAATGTTATGTTTTTCTGACAGGAGACCAGGTATGAATGTTGTGTCTAGAACACACAGCTGAATGATGAGTACAAAGCCACTTTGAGTCGGTGCAGAGCTATTTGCTGGAGCTGGAAGCTGCAGGACCTGATGACGGGCAACAACCATCTGAGGGAAACATGCAAACGAGAAGTTTGTGTCGACCTGTGGGGTCTGATGAGGCTGTTTGTGACGAGAAGCCAAGCGTCTCAGTGAGTTTGTACAAACCTCTGTAGGGGTTCCCCAAAGAGAAAATAAACATTTCCACCTGTCTTTGACTCTGGTTTAAAAAATCCTTTCTTAAAAGATTTATTTTAATTTCTTTAATAAACAAAATAATAATGTTCTTTATGTTTTTATTTATGTTCTCTTTTTAATTACAAGTTATTATCATTTTATAAATCAAAGTTGTCTGATGAATTAATCTTTTGCATTATTCTTCAGAAAAACAAACAAAAAAACAACACAGCATGAGAAATGGTTGAAATATCCCTTTACCTGTTTTACACAAATGTCTGTTTAATCAACTATTGTCTTACAGTAAAGCGATTGTTTCTTTTTATTAATCCATTTAACTAAAGTTGATTGTTGAGTTTATAACTTCACTGAGTTATATTTTGAAATATGCTTACAGAAATATTTGTGTTTAATCATAGAAAAATATTTCTTAGATTTATTTCAGTTAAAACGATTCTTGTGCTTCAATGACCTTTAGTCCATTTTAATATGTGTCGAAGTTAAACTTGTTGTGCCTAGAAACAGGTGTAAAAATGTTTCTGCTCTGGGAAGTTCTTCAGACTCAACAGTTTCCATTTTTCCTTCTGTTTAGCGAGAGCCAAGGTCATGCCGTAGTTTCTCCTCTTTAGAGAAATTAGCACATGAACCTGGCTCGGACAGTCTGACAGTGAACAAGGAAACGAAAACAGCTATCTTCGTTTTCCAGCTAATCTTCCTGCGGGAAGAGTAGCTGACCAGAGATGTTTTCTCCAGAGCTAATGAGAAAAAATATTCTGTCTCGGCTTGAGGCAACGTCAGCCCCTAAGCCACCTTTTGATTTTTTTATCCTGAGAGAAGAATATTAACAGCAAGCTGGACCTTGGTCTCTTAACTAATGGCAGATCTTCTGAGATGCTGTGAAAACAAAAACCCTGAGGAGTTGCACTGGACGTGAGTTCTCCTGACCTGCTGACCTGGCGGTTGAATCACCAACAGGTAGAACGCTGTGGTTTTGTTAGCAAAGAAGATTCAGCTAAGTGGGAGATGCAAATCCGGGCTGTTCTGGTTCTGATTTGATAAAATAACAGATAAAATTTAGACCTGTACTAATTCTCTTTTCCTCCTTTCTTAATCTAAACTTGCCAAAGTAGTGTGCCTGTAAAACTGAGTTTAATAACATCTAAAGCCTGGTTTACTGTTCTTTCTGAGTGTTACAGTTTCATAAATTACTTTGGACGCAAAATATTTTTGTTAATGCTAACTTGTTAAGTTTTAATTATTAGCCTTAATTGTATATAGTTAGTTATAAACGACCTTTACTAATTCTCTTTTCCTCCTTTCTTAATCTAAACTTGCCAAAGTAGTGTGCCTGTAAAACTGAGGTTTATAAGATCTAAAGCCTGGTTTACTGTTCTTTCTGAGTGTCACCCATCCATCCATCCATCCATCCATCCATCCATCCATCCATCCATCCATCCATCTGTAGCAGTAACTTGGATTGGAATGTCAAACCCAAAAACCTTGTTTACCTCAAGACTGTGGCCTCTAAGCATTACTCTGTCTCATGCCTACTGAGACAAGAGTGATTTGATTCATTTACCTCCAAAACCATTGTTTACTATCTACGACTGGTAAGATAACGACAGGATGCGACAGAGACCTTGTTGTTTTTGGAGAACAGTGGGAACTCTTTGATGTATTCAAAATGGCCGCTTATCACAAAAGGACTCAAAGGTTTAGCAGACACAAAGAGAGAAAAGCTTTGAAGCTGGATTTCCTGCTGAGTTCATTACATACATT